AGGGGGGGAGGGGGGGGGGCCCCCTTATTAAAGAGGGTCAACATTATCGTCTTTTAGATTGTGCTCTCCGATAGTACTCTCTGGGCGGCAAAGACCTCAGCGTCTGGAGCTAATCTCCCAGAAGACAGTCTACATGATCTACCGCGCCCGCCTTCTTCGTCAGAACCACCGAAAGCTCAGTTAAAGAGGCGTTTTCTCTTCGACTTTGCGTTGCGAAGCTCCTCGCTTCGAAGCCAGAAACCACAGTTGGGAATCAAAGCTTGAAGTTGTTCGGTGTAGTCAGGATTTAGGAGCCAAGGTTTAGCACTAGCATGAATTATGAAGAATCAAATGATCAAGAAGATGGTAAATGAAATTGGTAACTGAACTGATACATGGGTTCAGGGTCCCAACGGGTCATCAAACCAAGGCTCCAGGGGCTCCCCTGACAATACAAGGTACCGCCAAAGCCGGGCGTTCCAGCTTCGGCGCTTACTTGACACCTGCAGACCTATAGAATGGTTAATTAAATGATAGGTGTCAACAAAGACGGAGCTTGGTCTATGGGTACACTTTAGGACATGCTTTGGGTAGGACGCTTTAGGGTCGTCGTATGATGGATAGGCACAATCTCTTGCAGAGCTATTGCAAAGAGGAAGCCCTGCTATGTTTAGGACATGCTTTGGGGCTCCACTTCCGGATATGCTTCACAAACCTCTTGCAATCAAATGATGACCCCCTGGCACGGAACAGCCCAAAAGCAGGCAAAAGACACCACATCTTCGCCGTTGTGACAGTCCCCCAAAATAGCCCCATCGGCATCATCAATTAAAGCTCATGACAGTGCCCTACTCAAAGAAATCGTTAGACAAAAAAGGCAATATTCCCTGGCAATCCTTGTACAAACATGATAATAAACGCATACCCCGAACCTTTGGCCCTCACCCCTAAAACTCTAAAACTCTACTTAAACCCTAAACTCTAACACCCTGGAACCCTGAACCCTAAACCCCAAGCCCTGAACCCGTGTAACCCATTATAACCCTATATAATATAATAGTTTCCATGTTCTTTTCCATCATCCCCACGTAACCCCTATATAACCCCATTTTAACCCTATATATCCCTGTATAGCCCTAAGCCCTACACGCTTTAAAGCCCCAAACCCCCAAACCCGCCCAGCCTTGGGATCCACGAGAGCCCAAGGGTCGAAGAGCTGTGGACCTAGGGCTTTTGGCGTTTGCGGCTTCGGGTTTAGGGTTCAAGGTTGTAAGGTTTAAGGGCTTGTGAAGTTCAGGATTGAGGGTTTAGGTTTTTTTGGATTTTAGGGCCTGCGGTTTCAGGATTAGAGTTGAGGGATTTAGGCGTTCAAGTACTAATTATTTGGAGGAGGGCGGGCTTTATGTAGGGATATATACGGCTGTGTAGGGTCAAAAGTTTAGGGCTTATTGAAGGGCCGCTCACAGGCTTCCAAAAGCAAGTACATAGTGGTCCCTTCAAAGGGTGTCTGGGCAGGAACACAGGCGTTAGATGGGGATACATCGAGGTTAGATGTTAAGATAGGGAGTTTTCAGCATCGAAGGGCCGCTTTTTGGGACTCATAGTAGTTGAGCGTATACAAGGCCACGCAATCCCCTTTACTCAGCAATGAGCCCGCCGGCACCTAACATCAAATCTTCAAAGCAAGTACCAGAACTTTCGCCGGTTGCGTGTTGTGTTAAGCAGGGGAAGAGATTGCTTTCAATGCTGTGTTTTGGGTGTAGGCCTTCAACCTTAACCCCTTCAAAAGATGAGTCTGTTCTGCTGGGCTGAAGTGTCCAAAAAAGGTGAAATATGCTTTTCATCAAAATCAAAGCCACCACGAGCTGCGCAAAGGGTCGGCTCCTCGTCAATGTTGGCGATGCCTGACACAGTCTGGGTCGTACAGCTCAGCATTGGGGAATGGGAGTTAGGGATTCTTTTCTTTCAGTGTATCGGAAATGTAGGGATCAACTGGATTGAAGGATTTACGATTTAGGGCTCGGGTGCAAAACATCTTAAAACTCCACTACCGAGGGCATTCCATGCATCATATTCCCATTTCAGACACCCAATCCACGTAGCTAAAGCCTAAACCGTATCATGTATATAACGCATACTCCGTTTCCATCTAGAGGCATTGGGCTCTCTGGGCTGTGTTGTGCAAAACCACCGTTAAAAAAAAGTTTGCATGTCATTGTCCACAATGTGAAGACCTTGTGTATCCCTATATGAGCTACAGTCAATATTCCTCAGGAATTTGATAGATATGGGATCCTTAGTTGGTGCTAAATATACGACTACGCCAAACTACAAGAGGGACCCCTATGTCCACCCCTAATGGTCCCTTGATAAGGCTGGTATTGACAGTAGCTCAGACAACCCTATGTAGCCATATTATAGAGCCTTAACTCAATATTGTAGTTTCCTCCAATGGACCCCAATACGACCCCAAAATACAATGGTCCTTATTCTGGGGACCTCCAAAATACACAAAGGGATTGGGCTCTACGCTGCCTTTGCGGAACTCTTTGGTAGTCTGCCTCGTCACCTGCAGGCAGGGTGTAGGATGTAGGCTACTGTTTGCCTATGGTATAGTAGGGTAAACTCAATGATGAAGGCGGTGGTTTCAGCAGCAGCTTCTTGAATTGTCTTAAGGGGATCCGGAACCATCTGATTCATCAAAGGACAGCGAGAACCGGGATGGATTTCGCGCCAAGGTGTAATCAGGACGACTAACCGTGAGGCTGTGACATCTCTGTATATCCGTTGCACATCCACATCTCTAGGCCCTAGAGAGATGCTATGGGGGCTTTAGGGGCTTTTGGAAGGACCCGAAGTGGAGAGACCTTTGTAGCTTGCAGGGGCAATATGGGGACCACCTAGGGATCTAGGGGCATGTATGCACAACGTGTGGGTTATGTCAGGTAATGGGATCAGGGGCCCTGAGCCCTAAACATACTGGCGGTCGAAAATTCCCATAGTGACTATTAGCCCCCAGCAGGTAAACTCTAAACCCTCCCTCCTAATCAACCGCAAGCACGGATGAAGGTCTTCGGGCTAGATCAAAGCGCACCAATGGCTTTGCCTTGGCGGTGTACAGGCGTATATATGGATGAAGAGGGTAAGCGATTGACTTTATAAATGGGGTTCTGCACAAATCATGTAGAGAGAGGGGGGGGGGGGGGGGGGGG